GCGAGACGTGGGAAATACGCACCATGGATAGCGCTGCATCTGCTTCGTCTCGTTGGCGATCCAAGATGCCTTGGTGCCCCACCCTTCAGCACTGGGGAGGCTACAGGGATCCTAAGCCAATAGAAAGGGCGATTAGCTTCTCTGCATATATTCATTCGCGCTATGTCGTCTGCACACCGCCTTCATGGCATCTGCTCGCCGAATTGTCTATACACAATCATTGCAGATAAGGCTGATTTATAACTTAAAGTACAGTAAAACTGTGAAACAAACAGACACGCCAGGAACTTGAAGCCTATTGTAAATTTGTTGCTCTGCACGCTGAAGATTAGTAGGCGCTCATGCTGGCGGATAACTTCACTTTGTGTTCGTTTCTCTCCAACGCTTATCGTGGTTCTCGAATAACTGCTTCTCCATCGACGTGTTTTAGGGGCGAAGCTCCTTATAGCGGCACCCGTTCGTCCCCCGTAGTATGTAACAAGTATAACATTTTGACTTCCAAGGTGGTGCCGGTGAGAGACTTCTTCTGTGCGTTGTTGAACAAAAAAAATAGTGCTCAATGTACATGTCAATGGCTGCTAATGGGGAATGAGAGAGAGGAGCATTCGGCTTTTAGTTAACGCGCAGGCTGCGATCACCATTAGCAGCCATTGGCATGTACATTGAGCACTATCTGACAAGAAAGGGTTCCCACGTTATACTCGCTGGGTGTAACCTCCTTAGCTTTAGAAAGGTTTAGCGAGCGTTAAGCCGCAGTGCCATGATTACAATGATTTGTATATACCATGAATTAACTCGAGGTGGTTAAAAATGGGAAGTAGATACGAAGCGTAAGCTGTGAGAAAGTAAAAGCCGAATTCTCCGTCTCTCATTTACCATTAGCAGCCATTGGCATGTATATTGAGCACTATGTGACTGAAAAAGTTTGCTACGTCATACTCGCTGGGCATAACCTCCTTGGTTTTAGAAAGGTTTAGCGAGCGTTGGGCCGCATAGCCATGAATACAGTGAACTAGTATATACCATGAACTCGAGGTGGTTAAAGGTGGTAAGTAGACCCGAAGCGCAAGCCGTACGAAAGTGTGCGTGTGCCACCTCTCGTTTAGTCCTTGGAATGTCCGCTGGATGGCGGTTTCTATATGGAGAATATATGATGAAAAGATGCGAGATGGTGGTACTTGGAGTGTTGAATAGATAGACGAATGGACACACAGACAGATGCATGGATGGACGCATGAACGGACGCAGGGGCGGATGCATGGACGAACGCAGGGACCGACGCACGAAGGGACGCACGCACGGAAGGGCGGATGGACGCATGGACGGTCACACAGGTGGACGCATGGACGGACGGAAGCAAGAACGAATGGACGGACGGACGAATGCTTCGCCCCACTCTCCATCATTCACTCCGTGGATATGTTGCCATTTTTTTTTGTTTCCGTCCAAGGAGGATCTGACGCGCACGAAACGCTGTGTCATGTTGCATTTCCTATGTTTGAAGATGCAGCGTTCTTGGTCTGGCAACTCAGCCCAAGCCCTGCCTGGGTGCGTTAGTCTTAGCACGTGCGGCTAAGCAAGCAGCATATCTCGCTAATAACGACAACACGTACCTGATGTTTTATTCTCAGAGCAAGATGAAACAAATCGATGGTGGATTTCGTCATTCATTTGTTGCTGTCAGTGCAGTGGGCACGTAGCAGGAGCCAGTTCGGATCTAAACGGGCGGTCGCTTCTCCGTGGATACTGCCATGTTGACTTGCAAACGCAGTTACCGGGAGTAAGAGACAAAAATAATTTCATGCGTGTGAACTAAATGCGAACAATAAACGTATCACATAACGATGTGACTAAACACACACCAAAAAAGACACGCCACTTTTAGTTAACCCGGTCAGTTTTAAGGCGCTTGTTATATCAGGGACTATGTTTTTCTGTGCAACTGTGTGGCTTTCCTTACCCACTAGTTTTTGGTATGCTGACCAAAAGGTTTCGGGCCTTGTGTCTGCACGAACGCAAGAGCCCAAGATTGGCTTGGTTTCTGCGCATTCGCTCTGGCGCGTCGAAATCTTCTTGGGTCCCCAAGCTCCTTGAAACCCCAGTTCTCAAACTCTCTAACGTATTACATGACGATAGAGAGTTTCGTATTGCATGACGCGAATGGAGGACGAAAGTAAATGACACGTCCCAACATGATAATCATGACATGCGTGTCTTGTAAAACATGACTATATGCTACAGTCTTAGTGCGCTCGTGGTTTAGCTAGCTTCTTATATACCAATTTTAGTGAAACGTGACGTCAATAGATGACGAAGGTATATGAGTAGTGCAAACATGATAATCAAGAAACTCGTGTCATGTAAGAACATGACAACATACCGTACTCATGATGGGCTTGTGGCCGTTTCGCTAGCTGCGCACATAACAAATTTAGTATCACGTGACCTGAATAGATTACGAACTTAAATGACACGTTCAAACATGATAATCATGACATGAAAGTCATGTACGGCACACTTCACCTCCCCTCGTAATCTTGTGCTGATGTTAAAGTGACATATCAACCTTCCTCATTCGTGCTTCGCATATCATCGATTCCCACTGTACGTGGGGTCTGCCAATTTTTTTTTGCTGGTAAAGCAAATAACACGCATATTATAAACTAATAATTGGTCGTTTCTTGTTAAAACTTTACGTTTTGAAGGGAAGTGAGGTCAGAAGTTTCGATAAAATTTGTCAAGCAAAATTTTTCAACCTAAAGCTAACGAAATGAACGTGAGCCGGTACAAGCAATTGATATGACTGATATGTGTGAAATATACCTGAATTCACGTGTATAGCAGACTGCAGTTGATCAGTAAGACAAATATGCAATTTTTTTCTTGGTTCGAATATGACAGCGGTGGACAAAGTTTACATTTATTCGTAGGCTGGAACCCGCTATAGTAATCTCCAACTACACCATAAAAAACAAAAAACTCCCAGCGAAGTCGTGCGCAGATGTCGGTTCTACTAAATCTACAAGAACGTGTGACAATAAGGTCTAGTGATAGTTCTGATGTAACGATGGTGAGTGCAAATATGAGCGTGCAACCGTGGCACCGGCCGGTGCGGCTTTTCACGGGGAGCAGTGGGGCAGCGAATGCCTAACAGTGACGCGCTGGAGGAGAAACACATTATTTCAACATAGGAGTTTAGAGCACGCATGCTCCTGGGCCCCCACACGATCCCGCTGTGCTCAAGCGTTTATTTAGTGGTGCTCTATGACGCTGGCAGCCCGGTCGGCAGGCATTAGAGAGTTTTAGTACTGCGTACGCTGCGTACGTGGCGGCGTTGCGTACGTAAGGACGCCACGTTCTGCGTAGTGCGCATGCGCAGACCGGAACGCGCACGTATCGCGTTACGTACGCAGCCGCTACGTACGCCCGCATTAGATGCGTGCGCGCGTACGTGTGAGGTGATCGCGCCGCTCTCGAACAAGTTCGCGACAGCGCGAGACTTCGTTTTGCAAAATGGCGCCATCGAAGGCAAGCACCGACTGGCTCTGTGGCTTAAAATATGACCATAATCTGGCTTTAACACTTGTATTGGCTCACATTGGCTGTCAACAACACGTACTTCTATTTTCATCTAGCAGATGCCGCAACACGCTTCCCGCTCGTTACGTACACGGGTACTACGGCGTACTAAAAGCCGATTAGTGGCAAATGACGCCACGTAACGCAAGGCGCTTGCGTGATGCGTTCGTAGCACCATTCCGCAGTACTAAAACTCTCTATTGTCTGCTCAACCGGGTCCTCTGAACGCAGTAGGGTCTCCCAGTCCACTCAGATATTGAGGCGCTCTATAGGGCCAGTGGGGGAGGATGCCGGTCAGTGAGAAGTGATGTGTGTAGCAGAAGCGTAAGACTCAGGGCTGAGAGTACAGGCTGGTATTAGAGAAAGGGCGTGATTGTGCGATAGGTTTAGAGTAGAAGAAGAGTGTAAGTCTGTAGCTGGCGCCATATGGTGGCCTGTCGGTTGCTGAGGAACTTGTGCGGTGGAGGATAGAGCTGGCGTTCTGCCCTATAAGCCTGAGTCGGCTCGTTGCAGGTCGTTGAAAGTGTGCGCGCGCTGCTTCATGAATCCGGCATCGACGCCGCCAGCGCCCGGTTTAGAGAACGTCGGGCTAAGAGGTTGGCGGCTTCGTTTCTAGGACTCCCCGAGTGCGCGGGCATCCAGATTAACCTCACATGACGGGGTAGGGGTGCTGTGGCGGACCGACTCAGGGCTGTCTAGAGAGCCCTTGTGGCGGCAGTAGGGCTTGGCCTTGCTGTCCCGACGTGGGAGTAGCCAGCATTGAACTTTGACTGATCCTCAGGACCTTAATAGAGTTCTTCATATCATGCCATATATACCGAGGTGATTTTGTACCAAAGCTTATTGATCAGAGCAATTCCCTGCGTGTAATTGTGCTTTAGCCACGTAGGTTTTTATTGTATGCGTAACCTCTGTCATGTGATATCAACACTAAATTTAACTACTGATTTTGGGTTCTGTCTCGCTCAACCCTATCAACAGGGGGGAAGCATATTTTTTGCGACCGCCACGCGGCACACCAGTGTTCCTATCTCACTGTTGCTGCATTCGACTTCAAGTAAAAGAAAATACCATATAGGTAATCGTCAAAGCGAATACAAAACAAGGAAGAATACATTGTTGAACGTTCAGAAATTGAACAATATGTACTAAGACAGACTCAATTTTTATGAAATAGAAAGGTATTTCATGGTAAATAAACAAGTGGTGAGAAGTAACACTGTTCATAACTTTGCATTGGGTAAGAGTTTGTGCCTAAGGAATATGCAGAATTATCAATAAAAACACCTAAGGTGAGTGCCACTAAATGCCACTGCAATACAAAGGCTACAAGATGAAAACTACAGTATATTCCCGACGTGTGTATGACGTCAAGTGAGTGAACAGCATCAACTTTTATTTCATTCAGACATACAAAAATGGTCGCTAGCCAACAAGGACTTCCTCGGCAGTAGATTGTTAGTTTATTGATCTCAGTGAGGCTTTCAGATGATTCAATCACTGCAATGGCGAAAAAGAAAGCATACACATCCATACATAAGAAAATGTTATATCATAAAATTAAAACGAAAGTACACGACGACTCAATGACACCGAAATTATTTGGTTCAGGCACAGACTGAGGTAAAGAACTGTCTTCTCCATCAGTCATTGGTCCATAACACGTAGTATTAGCATAATTCCCTCTGAGGAACTGGTCAACAAATCTCATGGAGAATCAAAACAAGTATCTCACCATTTCGTCAGCCTCCACTCACCTGTTGAATTCGTGTAAGTGTGCAATAGCTGACCAGCCGAAATGCAGATAGGTGAGAGCACCGATAGATTGTGCATCCTTGAGCATCGTTTAAAGATGTTAATCTTAAAGCGGTAGTACGTGTCACTGCAAGCTTGGGTCCCATGTCGCAAGAAGTATATTTTTCCTGTATGTGTTTCAATTTTTTAAAAAGAAGAAACGGTTGCAACTAATGCCTCATACCAGCGATCTGTTATCAATATGCATCGGGCACCCATTTCTGTATGCACGGGGCTCACATTATGGCATGTATAGAAAGTTGCGAATTACTCCCGCTGAAACGCTATGAATAGTGCTTGCGCCATCATTTCTGATAATGTTTTGAGGTTTAACGTCCCAAAACCACGCACCATCATTTCTGTTGTTTTTTTTCATTCTACGAAACATTGCAACTAATACATAACATACGTCATACATCAAAAGAAGAAACAGGAAACAGGCAATAAACCACACATTCCAATCCAATGTAGTGCAAAAAGTTAAGAGAGGCAGGTGTTACTGTGTTGTCTGCCTGTTAGCTAACCACGATTGCAAGGGTTAGGAAACAGGCCTTGCGTTAAACAAGCTGAAGTTGTGAGAACTTCCATTATTTATAGGCTGAAGTGTGATTTCTGAATATCTTGATGTCGTCCAGGTTATCCTTGACGGGACTATGTAAAATATACTCCAGTAGCTGTAATATTCTAACAATATTAGAATATTGTTACAATTACGTGGACAACACAAGTCCGGCGAACTGCTACGTCTACGGTTTTAACCGTTCATTTATGATGAACAATTATGATTTATGATGAACATGAGACGTAGTGAAAACCTTATCGGAACAAAAATCAGCATTGGGTTTCCGATTTGAAATAGTCGCTTCACACTCGAACGCGAATGAGGCAAAATCATTCAAAACTATTCTACTGCACATTCGTGTTCCGTGACACTGCCATTTCACGCGTTATTCATCTCACGGCGATGCACCACCTGGCCGTGGTAGTCATTTTTTTTAATTTCACATTTTATCACGTGGCCCTTAGAACAGTCACCTGAACGATGGGTTGGTTCGGGCTGTCTAGCAATATTCTCTGGGTTTTGAGCACCAAATATATGATGACAAAGACACATAGAGATACGAAAGGTGCAAGCACTTCGTTCTTATGCTCGGTTACAACCTGAAAGACAATGTTCGCTCCGCCCGCAGAACTACAGCTTACAAGCCATTCACCTGTGAAACACAGTCGTGTTCACTGGTTTTCACTCCAACCTCAAGTACTATATTTCGGCTGATGTAAATACTTCGCATATTGACAAAGAACAATTCATCGTTAGTACCTCACATGGCGCTTTGTTAAGCAGCCATCTCTATCTCTGGTGAAGTTTACGAGGACGTTGAAGTTTCCGACCTAAATATAGCAGCACGAAGTTGTGTCTGTCTGGTAGAATCAGCTATCTGAAACACTCTTGATGTGCTTGACGTCACAATAAACAGTACACGCTATTAGGTGGAGCACTCATGCATATTCTTTGTAAGAGAGACAGTGGTGACTGTGGTTGGAGCTGGCATGTTTTTTTTTTTCTTATGGTGTAACCGACTACAAAACATTCGTTTTTCGTATCTCTAGCGTGGCAGGAAATCATAGATTTTGCGCCAAAAGTAAGACTTCTCTGAATGTTGAGGAGACGCAGAAACGCAGTTAGATTCATCGTTTCTCAGAAGTCCATAGTGAAGTGGAGCTGCAAGCTCGATCCCGCCTCGACTGTTCAGACACGAGTTCTCACTAGTGTAGTCCTCTGGCAGACGAGAGGCTACTCCTCGGTGCTGTACCCGAGCCTCTGCTTCAGGCTGAGGTAGACGTGCGGCTTGGCGCGTATCTTGTAGTAAAGGAGCGTGGCGATGATGATGGCCAGCACGACGGTGACGGTGATGAGGAGACCGAGAGCGACGCGCATGGCGATGTTGATCTCCTGCCAGCCAGGATGCTCCACGGCGACGCTTTCGGCACACGGCATGTCGGCGCTGCTCAGCTTGGCGACGAGACGGCCCTCCAGTTCCTTAGGGCTGCCACACCTGCCGAAGAACGATACGGCATACTTATATTTTAGGAAAGTGTAATGTTCGGCGAGCTGGTATGTAGCTTAACGGTAAGTTTGGAGTACAAACTAAGAACAAAGAAAAAAAACGAGAGAATACCGAATAAGTGCCCTATACACGAATACAGGGGCTGCAAACGTTTCGTCAAGTCCAAGTCCCTTTTTTGTGGGACCTCTACGCATAGTATTCTATTCTTTCTTTTTTCGCTGCGGAAAATAACCTGTAAATAGATGACATGCTCTGCCATTATGGAGAGTAGATGTAAGCATAAGATCGATTCTCGCAAAAGCCCATCGATTGGTTGGAGTTGATATTAGCTACAATCTTGAAATACGCACAGTCCATGTTCGCAAGGGCTCACCCTACAACACCACATCATACCATTCACTGGTACGCATAAACGCCATTGCTTCCTGTCAGTATGTGGTCTGATTCCGGGGCGCTTTTCCCCGTGTATTATGCCACCACGCCACGCAGGGTGAGCATACTCAGGCCACCACACGCTGGCGTGAGATGGCGCCATCTTACGAAGGAGGTGGAAGAACCACGCCGAAAAACTCTGTTGTCATCACGAAATTTCGTTGCCGCGTTACCTCCCTCAATTTTTACTTGCATAGATCAGGGATATTGAATTCCCCTGTGGGCATTTACTGTAATCAAGAGGAAACGATCAGTCATTTTTATTACATTTTCGCCGTTTCGATTTATTCAGGCAAAGCATACTAGCACCACCTCTTCAAAGACTGGGCTTGCAACCATCACAACCTGATCTTCTTTCATTTGGAGCCTCTACACTGGGTTTCAGCCACAGGGATGTTTTATTCGCCGTTCAAAAATACATCACTGTGACTAAACGATTTTCTTGCTAAATTGCTGTCTCACTATTATTCTTCTTTTTTTTCTGCGAACTTGATATCGGTATTTCGAATCAAAATTAAGTTACAAAAAAATGTAGGAATGACGCAATGCTGAAAGTTTAGGGCAAATTCACCTTATAATCGGCCAATCCCCATGTTTGGGTACGAGCCATTTGCACAGTAAAACAACAACAACAAAACTCTGTAGAGTGCTAGGATGTTGTTGTTCTAGGCAGGGGCGGGTGCAGCCACTAATTTTAGGGGGGAGGGAGGGAGGGGTGTCGCCCGAAGTAACACCTGAGAAAGGGGCGTGTTCATCACCTTCTTGTTTTTACTAGGTGAAAACTCCCCTCATAGCATATATACTGTTGATGTGTGCTGACCAGGTGTAGGCACTTATCCCGACAGTGCGTCCAGATAATGTTCGCCTCTTTCCTCCCCTTGGCCTCCATGTTGCAGCGCCCCCACAAGACCACGCCCAGGTCATGTACTAAAGACGACGAGCTGCGTGCGTAGCGTCCGTCATAGAGTTTGCTAAAATTAGGCAGAGGGGACTCTGGCGCTGCAATCGTTCAGTGACCATGGGAATGATGGTATGAAGATGGAAACATGTATAGTACACGGATTTGCCTAGTCTTCGAAACTGCGGGTGGCGAATCACACTTGTGGTTTAATTTATTGCTAGTTTTGGCCTTGTTCGAAATAAAGAACAGACACTTTTGAACTTCACAACCAGATTTGAAATGGTAAGCCTAAAAGATTAAGGTGGCGAAGCCGCAACTTCTGAACATTTGCTAATTGTTGTTTCGTGACGAAGCAGCTTCAAGCCATGCGAAGAATTTGAAAAAATACGAAGACTTGGCAAATCCATGTAGCTGCCCATAATTCAAATGCTCACTGAAGCACCAATGCACCATGCATTGCAGCTCTCATAGACACTAGCACCACAGTTCCCTCAAGTGTATATTTAGTTAACCATATATGCTCGGATTTCGACCCATCTTTCCCTTCTCTTCTTACTATCACTGCTGTGCGGCTTTATGCTATTCGTTTTATCCCCTTCTCCCATCCTCTACAAAGACCTTAGCCGTGTCGCCAGATTAGGCAGGCAGAAATGAGCTCCTTATTATTTTTCTTCAAGAACCATGCAGTCATGATTGAAGCTCGCACTGGAAATAACCTTCAAATCGCGTTATACTGTGAGCGTCATTGTATGCGTATTGCAGATATACTGTCAGGGTAATTAAAAGTAATCGATGGTGAATGAGGTGCATTAAGAACCAATGTTTCCAGATTGAGCGTTACTCCGCTGAGATACACTTCGGCAAACCACACCGACAACGTGCTAAACTAAAGTAAGCATATATATTTTCATGCTTATCCAGGATAACTGGGTCTGTGCCCAGTTATCCTGGATTATATCATGCCCAGTTGCTCTCATGTGTTCTAAACCCTATACATGAATATTTACTATAAATTATTCACGAGCAGAAACTTTATTGCTGAAACTTGGCGGTGAGGAAGGGCTCAACTGCGCATGGTGTGCAATGTTAAGCTTCCACGAAATGCTTCATAGAGGTCGGAATCTTTTCCCATGTTTTTATAACTCAAGAATGCTTGACCTCGTTTCTGCGGTGGTGAGTATTTAAGTCGGGCCTGGCACTAGTTGTAGTACATTGGGCTTTCTCTGAAGGCATCCTAGCATCTGGTTAACTTCCCTGCCTTCCTTTCTTCTCTTTTTTTTCTCTCTCTTTGAAGTTAACCAATCTGTCCATTGCATAGTCAGGAAAAGGGGAGACCATATTCTCTCGCTCATCCATCTTGGGTTGCGAATGGCGGTGAATGACGCATTCGGTGGATGAGAGCTCGCACGGCGCCATGTGTGTGTGACAAGAACTGTTATCCTTGGAGAGTCTGGAGGCCCCTAAGGGCCCTTTACACAGAAAGGGATCTTATTCTGGAACCCTATTGGGCAAGGCTGCTACCCGCTCCCGTCAGACTAGAGCTCTTTGAGCCTCCCGCCCTGAGCAATGGAGTAGGACTGCTTCCCATGCCTCTGTAGTAAGAGAAGGGTTCGGGGGAAGGGAAGGCTCATCTGACATTCGCACACCATATGCATAATGATGGCTAGCGTTACGTATTCCGTACGCTGTCAAAAGGAACGAGGCGTACGGTTCTGAGCGAGAGTGGAGAGGGAAAAGAACGGATATCTCACCTCAGCTTGGCGTCGATGACGTCTCTTTTCACGACATGCGGCATCCACTCGAGCTTGCAGTCACACTTCCAATCATTTTCAGCAAAGTCCACTTTGGTGACATACTCCCAGCGTAGAAGGTTCGCGGGCAGGGTCTTCAGCCCCGTCTGGCGAACGTAAAATTCGTCCAGGTCAATTCTAGCGTCAGAGCCGTTGTAGGTGAACGCCCTCCTGTCGATGCTTGACAGCCTCTTACAAAAGCTGAGATCTATGCTCTTGAGACTCGTGACGTCGCTGAATGCGTGGGCCTCAATGGTCGTCAGATCCACCATGTATTTCAGGAAGAGGCTCCTGAGAGAGGTTAGGTTGTAAAAGCTGTAAGGTTTGATGGTCGTGATGGGATTCCTGCTCAGATCCAGGTGACGCAGCAGGCTCAGCCGGTGGAGGCCATTAAACGGAACCTCTTCAAACCCGTTTCCGCTGAGGTCGAGCCACTTGAGGTTGGTCAGGCCGTCAAAGTCCGTCTGCCTGAGCTCCTTGAGAGCGGTGCTCTGAAGGATCAGCTTGTTCAGTGAGGTGAGCGGTGCGAGCGCGTTGCCGTTAAATTCTACGAGGCTGTTGTAGGCCAGGTTCAACTCGGTGAGGTTACCGAGGTGGTCGAAGATCCGAGGATACAACGTAGTCAGCCTATTGTGGCTGAGGTCGAGGGACTGGAGCTTACCGAGATGAGAGAAGACCTCTTCCTCGAGAGACGCGAGACGATTGTGAGACAGCGTGAGCTGGTTCAGTTCTCCAAACATCTGCAAGGCCGTGAATGCGATGAACTGTATGTGGTTGTGGGACAAGTCGAGCACATGAACGCCGGGTGCCGTGTAGAAATAAGTGTCCAACACGCTCTTGAGGTCGTTTCCCGCCAAATTGATTTCGAGGACGTGGTTGGGTAAGGCTAACCGGTTAAGTGAAGGGATGTGTTTGTAGGAACAGTCGATTGTTTTCGGAACGGCGTCAGAGTAGCAGCCGCAACTGTGAAGCTGACATAGATGTGTCGGAGTGGTTATTGGAAGATTAGCCTGAATGGTGTCATTCGTTCCGTGAACTTCAGCGTGGACTTGGCTGCCGTTACCAGAGAAGAAACCACCGAGTAAGTTGCACCGTACACTGTTGGCAAGCAGTACTAGCAGCAACGCTGTATATGTTCTTTTGGGGACCATAATGAGGAAGCCTGCACAGAAGAATATTGCACATAATGTTAATAGGCTTAAGACTCCACAACAATTAAAAACTGGCTTTGAAAGCCTGTTTAGTGATATTTCCGGGTGAATTTCGACACACCTATATTTTTAATAGACTTTTAACGTGCAGATCATAAGTGTGTTTACCTTCTGCAGCCATACCATTGGGTCATCGTGAGAGGAATCTAACCCACGACCTTATTTTCAGTATTAATCGCTACAATGCAGCCACTGAAGCTCAGCCTTCGTACAGAAAGAAAAGACAAAAGTTAAAAATGTATGCAGTTAATATGCGTCAGCCATTTGACGAAAATGAGCCCTAAACTGTCACGATGCTTCACCTTTGACATAACGGAAATATAAAACTGTGCCGCTGGCTGCAGCATGTCGGATGTCTGGTGACGAGAACATTTATTTATTTATTATTTATTTACTTTCAGAATTTCTTGTGGAGATTGTTTTAAGCAGCCAACATGATGGGACACAACTGCGCCTGATATTTTTAAAAGACCATCAACCTTCTACTCTACAGCAGATGGAATCCAGAAGTATTAAATTCACGGGGCGAATTTTGTGAGTGGGCAATAAATTTGGCTCAAATCATATGAACACGTCTAACTCAGAACTATAACTCCCACACTCTATAATCGTGGGAGGCTCTCCTCCCCAGTCCAGAGTCAAACTTCTAGCAGGACATAATCCGTCAAGCCCTTGCAGCTGCCGTGTCTCAATGGATTCTAGAGAACGGCTAAGGGTGACGAGGGAGGTGGACTTTCTTCTTATGTCAATAGAATGGCGTTCTGATGAAGTTTCTATATGTGTGTATGTATTGCTGTAAACACCAAAATAACAAACTCTGTTTGCATTTTAAAAAGTTGCCACACAACTTTCTACTAGATACTCGTCAATTATCGCTTAGGCTATATTTTTAATTGGGTCATTTTTATAACTTATTGGCAACACCCACTGACATCGTGTATCATTTAGCCAACAGCAGGCGACACAGGCAATTGTTTAGCCTCTATGTTATGAATATTTGTTGGGGCAATTGTACTGTCTTCTTTTGTAGGCCTCATTTGTAGTTACTTTTTTTGCGGCAATTACAGTGACACACTTTGTGCGACGACCGCTTCTGGCAACTTTTTCACTTTGTAACGCATGTACAGATGCACACTTTGCTATGGATACCTAAACAAAACATGATTACGCATTAGAGTAAGATGAAGTAAAGCAAGACACCTTCGTCTCTCCAAGAGTATACACTGATACAGAATTCGGTTGCTTAATCAAAAGCTACCAACAAATGCTTGACACATTACCGCATTGGATAGACCCTTCAGTATGGTAGCTACACCCTGGATCTAAGCTAAACCACGAAGATCTCTCGCACAATGATTCCTACCCCGTAATCTTGGCAAAGTGTTGAACAGTTAAAAAATTGCAATTGAAGTTCCATTTTTGCCTATGGCGCACGTAATGGTAAATGATACCAACGTTTCTCACACGCCTCTTTTGACCGTTACAGGTGGGACTCCGGGAATCTCTGCAGCGATAAGCGAAGACGAATGTAAGGTCTGAATGACAGAGTTTCTTGAGTCACACTTTAACGATGCGTTGGTCGAGCCTTATCATAAAGAGTATGAGGTGGCCAGTGATACTTGCCACATACAGGCGAAAGGCCTCAAGATAACCTAGGCAGTAAAAACGTCACCTGCACGTTCTACCTACTGCCAGACCTAGTAGCTGGGCTGAAGTAGCTTAACATAGAATTTGAACAAGCTGGGCGCTGATGCAAATGCACCGGCATAAAAGAAAAGGCGATAAGGAGTTCCACACCGACAACCACTTCGAACAAACAGCGGAAGCGCTAGAATGCCTTCACCGGATATGGTTTTACAATTAGATATACTGCTGCATGAGGTCAAAGGCTGGACTTCCGGCTACGTTTATTATATTGCGATACTTAGACTAAGCAAGATGGCCTGTCAGCCGACGAATGAGCGAAATTGGAAAATTGATTTGATCGAACTTCTTTCGCCGCCTAAGCTACGTCTGATTTAAAAGTACACGTGACAGTATCTACAGAAAAACCAGATATATGCTACCACACTGCTCTTGGTCGCTGGCCTCTGAAATATGGTTTTTGGAGTGGTGCTTTAGTTACATTCGCATAGAAGCACCAAACTAGGGCAAAATGTATGAATAGGTTAGTTCGTAAGCCACCGTGCCATCCAAACCTAGGAATTAGAGAAGCTGGTACCGTTAACACTCCATATTACTTGATTAATAAAACTGCCGATGTTATCTCATTGTTCCTAGATTTGAACAACTGGTACCTACTTTGAAATAATAAGACCATGAAAAAAGCATATAATGCAATCAAAGGCAGGTCTCTTTCTGTAGCTGTGGTAACAGCTGGAATTTCAGTGACTGCTAAGATTTATAACTGCATAACGAAAACCGTTCTTTCCTCAAGGTGATCCTACTTACGAAATATTTTAAATATCGATGCATAACCTGTACACCAAGATATTCAGAAGCTGCAAACTTAATTTTGATTTGGCCTACTCATTCCAGTTGCCGAAATGAAATTTCAAATACTGATGTCATATAACATTACTTTTCTTCCCGGTAATAGAGCAACCACTTTCTCTACATCGGACATCAACGTATTCAGTTAATTATGTTTGGTGGCAGTGATAAAAAGTTGTCTTGGAATGCCTCTATAATTAAGGTTAGCGGATGAGGAGGAAAAATAATCTTTTAATATTACCAGCAGTTTAGTTGGTTGAGCTGTACTTTTTAAAAAGATAATGCGTTCCAGCTACTACATGAATTAAACGTTCTCATGTACGTTAAAATTGTTTCAATATGAATAGCTATTCATCTGGTTCATCTAGCCTACTTGATAATCTACCATGCTTTTCGAACATATTGAGTGAACACTGGCCTTAGTCGGGAACTGCAACATCACTCTAAGGACACCAAGCAAAAAATCTTCATTTGCCCATATTACAAGCATTGAAGGTTTTACTGCGATGTCGGTGTCATTCCTTAATCCCCACAAATAAACCGAGTATCAGTGTCAAGTTTTGTTTAAAAACAGTCGTTGTCGTAACCTATTCAGACTAAAAAAAACCAGTATGCCATCTGAGTAAATAAAGCTATGACAGCAATCACACTGTCTTCTCAAATCATCATTTGAAAAAGATTCAGCTGTTTCCCTAAGGCCACCAAATCATTACTTTCTAGTCTACGTAACATTAGTAGCACTCACTCTAGAAGAGCATTATCAGCCTGGCCATGTGGACAGACAGACAGTTTCTATTGTGCACCTCCCACCCCCGTAACTAATGCATCTGTTCGCGCAAACATGGGGTGACTCACTGAGCGCCTTATCAACACTGTATTCCTAGCATCTATGCCAGACAAACACGTACAAGCTAGCGGTTAATACATCAAATATAACACAACAGTAATAAGTATATTTGCGAATGACAACACTTCTTTTCTGTGTATAGTAAGAAAAACGCCTAAGTTCTTTTCTATACCTTTAATAATACGCTTGCACTCAAATGAAATTCATTTTCTCGAGAAGTTCACCAACACTAATGTGTTTAGAAAAAGTGGTTAACGAGCACTAATAAGCAGAAAGTTTTTGTTAATAAAGTTACGTGTACATCAACAAACCAAACAGAGCCCTGTGATCTCTGAAACCTAAAACCACCCCTATTTCCTAACATATTCAGACTTAATAGGATGACGTAACCGTCGGGTACCTCCGGTAGTATTGAATAGAAGCACGGCTGATTATGATATTTTGGTTTCTATATACATTTTCTTTATTTGTAGCTCAGTGAAACGCAAAGTTATGACCGTTGAGTTGGTGGGACCGTTTGACTCTTGGGTTGGTGAGACCATAATGTCGCTGCCGAGATAACGCCACATCTATCAAAACAAAATAGGATAAATGTCCGATAAACACGTTACAACAAAATTTGACACTGTCATCTCTAATTTTAATTTACACAATATATGACACGCATAAATGGGTAGTTTTCATAGTCTTCGCTATCCGGTTATACCTTATTTTAATTAACGTGGCAGTTGCACCGGAAATTTTGCCGCGAACGTCATTCACGCATCGTGGCGCGGAGAGCGCTTCAAAACCTAACCATATTACGTGGTAGTCTTCTGTAAAGATGAGCGAAAAACGACGGGCACTCTTACCTGAAGCAGAACCGGTCGCAACTGCTAAGACTAGCCGAGACTGGCCAGAAGGCGTTGGCTCCACAGTTCGCGATAACGGCTTGCGATCTTTGCTCTCTACGTAGATACCGGCTGCTCTGTACAAGGTGAAGCCGTTGTCGTGACGATAGCTTAGATAAGCTGTTTCTGTCTCTCTCTCTCCCGTCTGCTCGCTTCAGCGTTGACGCACGTGAACGGCAGCGTTGGGACTGGGAGACCAAAAGGTGGCGTTCTAGTCGTCCCACTCAGATGCACCGAGAGCCCTGCGACCTCGCGGCTCTATTTTGACGAGTCAATCGGCTTGCACCGGCGTCGATAAGCAGTGGAGAGTGCTTCTTCGTCGTCCAAGCTGCCGGCCTTATGTGCCGATGTGGTTCGGTAACACGATACTGGCGGGAGAGTCGGGGCGGCCGGATGGCGCCTCACGGGAGAAGGCTCGTGCACGAGAAATTGCTAGCGAAGCAGCGCAGGTGTGTAGAAACGCAGCTCGGCCTCTCACGTAGCCTGGACGTCGGCCGTGCAAGAGGGCACCGGTGGTGGAAGCTCGCATTTTTACTGCCGTTTCTCGCGCAAGAGACGTGCTGTGACGCGAACGTGGCCGCCGGTTGAATCGGAGGGTGTGCGACATCTATGCTGTGCATGCTGCTACTGCGACCCTCTGCGAGCATGCGCAGTGAGTTCAACACTCACTGCATTACGCGCCATCGAACACCCACAGGTTACCACGTAGAGAAACGCCCGATTAAATTTACGATAGAATGGCTGGCCCCGCTACTCAAACAGTTGAGCATGGTAGACGTAATTCGAAGGTCGTGGGTCTCGTTCCACCGGCATGCGAAAGTTGTTTTTTTTTTTTCGTACACTCTAATACGTTTCCACTTACGTCATAACTGCAATAATACGATAAAACTGTAGGAATAATGTCCCTTATCCATTCATTGGCTTCAATTTATGGTGGATTCATGAAATTCTGTCTAAAAAAGGAGAGCACACTTTGGTTTATACCCCATCTTCTCTTGGCTCTTTACAATGTGCATAACGTGACACCATCTTCCTTCCTTCTTTTTTTTTCCGAAGCATTTCTTCGCGAACTTCAACGACTTTGAACGTATCTATCTATCTATCTATCTATCTATCTATCTATCTATCTATCTATCTATCTATCTATCTATCTATCTATCTATCTATCTATCTATCTATCTATCTATCTATCTATCTATCTATCTATCTATCTATCTATTTATCTATCTATCTATCTATCTATCTATCGATCGATCTATCTATCTATCTATCTATCTATGTACGACATTTATTTCTTCTCACCGCTTCAATAATTGCATCAATATCGAAATAGGTATGACATAACATGACTATATGAAGAGCAGAACTGACTGGTCATAACATGAAAATTATATGTATGTCATGAATGTCATTTACAATTCATGGTCTTGCTGCTCTTGCGGTGATATCGTTCTCATGACATACTGCAAAGCCGGTATGGGGTGACATGACTGCTCGGCGAACACAAATGAAGGACCCTAACGTGGAAATCATGTTATGCATGTCATGTAAGAACATGATTACATGCCACGCTCCTGATGCGCTCGCGGCGGTTTTGCTAGCTTCACATATACGAAATTTCGTATTAAATGATGCCAACGAATTACGAAGGTATGTGACTGGTGTAGACATGATAATCATGACATGCGTGTCATGTAAGAGCACAACTACCGGCTACGTTCATAATGCGCTCGTGGCCGTTTCGCAAGCTTCACATATACCAAATAGACAGATAGATACCCTCAAAGTCGCCGAAGTTCGCCGAGAAATGCTCCACATAAAAAAAAAAAAACTGTGCTTGAGTTCAAACGCTCAACTCATTACACGAGGAACACGGATAGTCGTTGTTTCTCACTGACGCTGTCTGTGGCTCTCGTATGTCAGCTTCACCGTCGACGCGTTCCTTCGCGTTTCCCACGGCAACGCTCGCCTTCTTGTCTCCACCGAAGGATGATCCGACGCGCACGGAACGACATACGAGGCTGCACATCCGGTATTTGGAGATGCAGCGTTCTTGGTCTGGCCTCGCAGCCCGAACCTTGCCTCGGTGCGTTACAGGCTTAGCAGGTGCGACTAAGCAAGCAGCATATCTCGCTAATAACTAGAAAACGTTCCTGATGTTTCATCATCAGAGTAAAATCAAACGAATTGATAGCTGATTTCACCGTTTCTTTATTGCTGTCAGCGCAGTGGGCGTGTAGGAGGATCAAATTTGTATTGAAGTGGGTGGTCACATCTGCAGGGGTGCTGCCTTGTTGATTTGTAAGCCCGGCCACCGGCAGTTACCGACACAAATAGTTAAATGCGTACGAAATAACTGCGAAGAAGAATAAACATATTGCGTATTGATGTGACGTAAGACACACTTAATAAAACGCCAATTTTCTCCAACCCCGCCAACTTTAAGGCACTTTTATATCAGGGACTACTGTTTTGCGGCGAAAGCGTATGGCTTTGTTGCACCCATAGCCTTGGTAGCGCCAAATTACAGTTACACTTTACCACTGTACCATAGTGGTGAAAGGAAGTATAGCGTGTGTGAGCTTTTTCCTGTGAAGCTAACGCTATTTAAATATCTGATGGCAGCAGTGTTTCCATCTGTTTTATCTCACACAACATCGAGGTGGGACGCCTGCAAGGACGCAAGTCGAGTGTACTTGTACCGCTCTGGTCCACTCTAACGCATGCGGAGCTCGACATGCCGCGTTGTGAGAGGCCTCTTCTTTTAGATGCGGAAGCATCTTATACTCGCGCCTTGTAGTGCGCCGTCCGCGCCGTCCGCGCCGTCCGCACCGCTTCTCGAACATTCGACAGCTGACGCGCGCGCATGCGCCGTCGCGCCGTCGCCCACTTTTCCACCATATGTGCATCCCTTCCTCCTCTACACACCGCGCGTGCTTCACTCCTCCACCATCTGTGCACCCTTCCTCCTCTACACACCGCGTTCGACATCTACAATTCTCCTGATTCTCCAGTGGACGCGCATGTGGCGTCGCGCTTCGAGAACATTCAACAGCTGACAGTGCATGCGCCGTCGAGCTGTATATATACTCAAGGTCGGCGCTCGCTCGCTCAGTTGCCGCTCGTCGGTTGGTTTGTACGGCGCGTCGACGTCCAAGGTCACGGTGAAATGAATTCCAACGAATCCACAAACACAATGATCGACGTCCCTTCGACCAGCGCCGCCCTTTCGCATACGTGTGTACGTGTCCACTCATTTAACACCCCCTCCTACAACCACGTTAACCAATTTAGCCATCGACCCAAGTAAGTCGCAATTTAACACCCCATTTCACAACCACGTTAACCAATTTAGCCATCGACCCAAGTAAGTCGCACTTTAACACCCCGTTAACCAATTATATGCTCCGCATCCTCCTCAGTGTTTCCCCGAGGGAAGCTGCGGGCAATTTTTTTTGCGCAGCAATAGTTACCATGCGTTCTGGGTGCTGCCAAATACGCTCTTTAGGCGGGTTGTTTTCGAATGCTATGAGAACACTGCTCATCTAGGCCGAATCAAATCGCTTGTTTCAGCACAAAATTTTCGGGCAATTTTTTCGCCATGACAGAGGTACGTTACTAAGCAGCACTTCATGAAGTGTTGCAGTTAACGACGTTTTCAAAAATGCTCCTTAACTTTAACCAGAAACTTACCACCGCCTGAAGGCGGCGCGTGTGAAACGCGTTTGTGCTGCCTTAGCACTAAAAGTGAACTAGAAGCAACATGATAGCGGTGTGAATAGAGGAGCTTTGAAACGCAGTGATTGAGGCAGAATGCCTTTCCAGCGGGCCAGGGTCGTTGCCGAGGACCTTGGAAGATGTTCTTCGCACGATGTGTCTCTGGAAGCCTAGCTCCGAACACAGCAATAATCTCTGAACAAATAAAGTTCCCTCAACTCAACTTTCCTCTCCACAAGGATCCCGGCTGCACCTTTCCCTAGCACTTCAGTTCTTTTGGGGGGCGAAACTCCTTATGGCATGGCTTGTGCGTTCCCATTGTGGGTAACCACCCCTCGTTAATTCTTTAACCAGCCACAGAGGGTGGTACTTGTATTATACGCTAGAAATACAAACGGTACGACACTAGAGGGCGTTACTTGTAGAAAAATATTGGCCCCGTATTTGCGTGTTAATCTACAAATTTCGTCGAAATACGATAGTCTTGCGTGTGGAGAGCGTGAACAAAACATTTATTTGATGTTCTGCGCAAGAAAATTGGTGAATGGAATTCTGGAGGCACTGCGTTAGAGTGCCTCGAGCGTGCAGCGGAGGCGGACGTCACGTCTCACGTCACACGTGAGACGTGAGCGCCATCTGGCAGTTTTCTTGGAAAATGAAGTGCGTGGCTCTGAGACGGGTGTGCGCACCCGTCTGAGAGGTGATAAGGGGTAGAACGCAAGGCGACGGGTAGGTGCCACCACCATCTCGACTTAGCAAAGCGTTGGAAACACTTCCCTTTTCGTGCAAGCGTTACATGGTCAGTGCCACGTAATAAACGCTACAGTCCTTAGAACAACTTATGTATGCCTTTTCTAGTAAAAGTCGAACATACAGAATATATACGTGTTGGTATGGTGCCTCAGATATGCGCGATAATTTCTTTTTATTTGACAATCGCACAAGTATAAACGCTGAATCTTTAGCAACATTGGTGGGCGCTGCGGATGGGGTCGGCCGTTTCAAGTATTCGTTGCCGTTAAGAGTGGACAGACAGACAGACAGACAGACAGACAGACAGACAGACAGACACAAAATTTTTGCGTCGAAGGTCCCCAAGAAGGACTAACGTCCTTAAAAAGAATTTACGACACACGTACGAAAGGAGAGACTACGATTGCGTGTTCTTCGGCGGCGCCGTGCGCCAGAGGGCACTCTATAGTACAGTAAGTGTGCCGTTCTGGCGCGCGCGTGCATTCACAGTCTTGACGCCAGAGAATGCACAAGGCTGCTGAGCGGCGTCTCACCTCCGTGTCTGACTCGGTGTCTCACCTCCGTTTTAAAATACGGCAGTCATGCTGTAACAGATGCCATTATACTGAAGTCTAAGTACATAATAGAAATGTTATCTCTCTGCAGATGTCATAGACACGCCGCCGCAGA